TTTTTTTTTTATCGGTACTTATGGTTGTCTTTTTCTATATAGTGTTTCATATATGTATGCATGTTAGATTTTATCATTTGACGAATGAATTGATATTAAAATGATATTATTTCTTGTTCAAAATGTTAATTGAAATTTATAAAAAATCTTAATATTGAAGGATAAGAATAAAAAATTCAATTAAAATAAACGCAACGCGATCGCTGATAAACGATTCGTGAACATAATCGAGCCTTAAAAAAATTAGAAAAAAAAAAATACATAAAAACGGATTCTAAGAATCCGTTTTTATTAAAAAAAAATAAAAAAAATCAAATAATAAAAACGGATTATGAAAATCCGTTTTCACTACGAACACGGATGTAATTAAGGTTAATCACTTAATTAAAGAAAAACTCACTTAATTAAAGAAAAACGGATTATCAAAATCCGTTTTTCGTTCGGGATTAAATGAAAACGGATTCTGAAAATCCGGTTTTTCGTAAAAAACGGATTTTCAGAATCCGGCTGTTTTACTTTTTTTCCATATTTTTTTTTGTTTTTTTCCACATATTTTTGTTTTTTTTAGATAAATAAATGATTCTTTCATTGTGCACCCCACAATTTTTTTTTTTTTTCATTGTGCACCCCACAAATTGACTAATCAAAATTGTAATTCACTATTGAAAATTGAATAATATTGATAGAATACTACGTACACAGAATATCTTCTTCGTAAAATATCAATTATTTTGTATAATTGTGGTGAAGACTATACTCTCACCTCTTTTCTTTTCCTAAATTTCTTGAAAGCCAAATACAGACAAAAGACAAAATTAAAAATAAAAAATTTAAGCATTATTAGCTTAACTCCTAATAAACTCCATGACTGTCACTTGGAGAGACAACTCGAGCTTCCCAAAAAATGCTTCTCGTCAGCCCTTTAAGTTCCCTTAATCTCAGAACCCTAATTCATTCCCGGTTATGATGTTCTCCGTGAGATCATCATCCATGGCGACAACTCACGGCAAATCGAGAAAAGGGGAAAGGAGGACGGCGCCGATGTCGGCTATGGAAGCTCGGCTCTCGCTCGTATTCGCGCTGGCTGCTCAAACTTCATCCCTCTCCCAGCGGGGTAATTAAGAATCTGCAGTTGTGTTTTGTTATAGAAGATTTGATTTTGTTAGCTACTGTGTAATTTCATGCCGGCCATTTTGCATTTTGCCGGAATTCATCCCAGCGGGGTAGTTAAGAATCTGTAGTTATGACTTATTGTAAAGATTCGATTTTTATAGCTACTGTGTAATTTCATTCCGGCCCGATTGCATTTTGCCATATTTCATCCGTAGTTATGTTTTATTGTAAAAATTCAATTTTTTTTAGCTACTGTGAATTTTTCATTGCTGCCCTGTTGCATTTCGCCAGACCATTAGAACTTTCTTGTGTGTGCGCGATTGGGCGTCACTGAATAAAGACAGATCACTTGTGTAGTTATGCTTGGGCTTCTTATTTGCTATCCTGAAATTCCATTTTCTTTTTTCTTTTTCTTTTTTTCTCTTCAGTAATATTTTTCCTGGTTTCTGATTTGTTAGTTTTGATGGAGTTTGTGTATGAGACCGCAAAATATGTGTTTCCGAGTAGGAGATTTGAGAGCAGGAGCTTTGAGGAAGCATTGATGTCAGGTGATCTTGGCATACATTCATTAGTTTGTATCGCTTTTATTTATTTATTCATTTGTTGTTACTGGATTTAGTGTTGATGGAGCAATATGTTGGTTATTTTCATGTATCTTCTCCTCTGAAGTTCCGGATCTTGAGACTGTGGAGTTTAAGGTTCTCAAACGGAGTGAGCTGTATGAGATAAGAGAAGTTGAGGTATTATTTCATTTCATAATTTAGTTGATGTTATCTTTTGTTGGGTGCTGAACATTTTGTTGAACAGACTTTTTTATTTTCAAGAATCTCTACAGAGTCCAGACAGATGTTATATCCAAATGAATTTGAATTCATGTGTAATGTGGGGTTACTTTATCCAATATGAAGTTTCAAAATTATTACTAGTCACTATATCCTCTTTCTGTATTGTCTCAAATTTTTCGACTCGCATCATAAAGCTTTGGTTATGTTTTTGCTGCTTTACTTTTATTTTGAATGCCATGCACATTTTTATTTCTTTCCTTTTATATTATCGCTCATCTTCTGAGTGTCTGAACTTTGTCCTCAATGGTGGAAAAAAACAGTCTTACTTTATTGCCGAGACAACAATGCCTGGGAAGTATGGATTCGATTTTGGTGGTGCATCTCGATCTTTCAATGTGTTGGCCGAGTACTTGTTTGGTAAGGTAGTCGGATATTTTAGATTCCCAAGAGAATGAAATTTTAAATCATAGATTTTAGCTGCTTAACTTTTTTACTATAATTACTGGTGTCACTTTCTGCTTGACTTTGCTTTCAGAATACTGGAGAGAAGCAAATGGAGATGACTACACCAGTTCTTACTCGTCGAACAAAATCTGAAGGGGAGAAAATGGATATGACAACCCCAGTTATAACAAGAAGGGTAAACTTATTGTTTTTCGTTCTTTATTCCTTAATGAATGGTTTTATTTGTTTAACATTAACCGATCTCCTCATGTTGATTGATATTGGTATATTGAAGGCAGATTGTCTGAGTAGCAGTATATGCGAAAAAGTCCACGTTATGTTAATCATGTTCAAATCAAGCATATAGCAATTATCTTCATTGTGAATTGTGATTTAGTTAATGATGTTTATCATATAGCTGGAAAATCAAAATAAGTGGACAATGTCTTTTGTCATGCCATCAAAATATGGTGCCGATTTGCCGTTGCCAAAGGATTCATCCGTTAAAATAAAAGAGGTGCCTAAAAGGGTAATTGCAGTTGCTGCATTTTCAGGTTTGTATTACCCGCTCAGCTTGTAATTTTGGATGATTTTCATTTACATCAGAAAATAAATAAACGTTGCTGCATCATGATACGGCATTTTTCTTCTCGCATGAGAGAGTTATTTTTTCCCTAGGAATATTTTACTTATGCACGAGATATCCAAGCCTAATTTGCTTATTTTTGTGCTTTTAAGCAAGCATTCGTTTGGTCATGTACAAAGACAGTGTATGAAGAATATCGATTAAGGGTTTGAGAGGATTTGAGAAAATGATACAAACATGACTCCCATTTGTCAGGGTTTGTTACTGATGAAGTAGTCCAACGACGTGAATCATCACTCAGGCGCTTACTAAACGACGACCCTGAGTTTCGTGTAAAAGAGGATGCCTCTCTAGAAGTTGCTCAGGTACATAAATTATCGGTTATCCAAACATGCATATCTACACGATAGATAGATACAGTCATACATTGTTAATTTTGCTCTATATTCTTGTAATTTCATTTTATTTCCATTTTGCAGTACAATCCTCCATTTACACTTCCACTCAATCGCCGTAATGAAATTTCGCTTGAAGTTGAAAGGAAACAAGCTTGACTGCAGTTTGTACTATACAAAATACCTGGTACAAAATCCTACACTAATTTATGGTTCAAATGTGAAGCTACAATAGACATGCTATTATGTTCCTATCGTTATGGGGTTTCGGTGTTTTCCTCTCTAACTTTCTCAAGAAAATGTGTGTATAGAAATTATTGTGATACATGATGATGTAATATATAGTACTACAGAAGAAATTTGTTGTTGATATTTGATCTAAGGATATTTTTGAATATGAATTTTCCTTTTATGAGAATTCCTTATATGAAACAATATAATATAAAGAAATATTTCAAAGGAGAAAAGATAGAGATCAATCTAAACTTAATTAACCTAACTAGTTAATAATTTTGTATACTAGAAATATTGTTTTTATTTTTTCTTGGAATGATGCTGGAAAGCAAATATGGCCCAAATACAAAAAGTAATCATGAAGGCTACTGACTAGGCAACCATGTTTTTTTAACATATATACATATTCGAATTGAAATGTTACTCTCGAAAAAATGAATTTCATACCATAAGTATGTATTTTGTTAAAAAAAAAATGTTGACGGTCGACCTGCCTAACGCTTAGGCTCCCTTGTACAATAATTTGTGATTGAGACTGAGTCCATTACTGACTGGGAAATGGCAGCTTTTCCTTGAATAAGCTTGTACATGGATAATAGGAAATAGTACATATGCATATGGATATGACTGCACAAATCCTATCTAAAATAAAGGATTTTTTTCAGCTCAATACAGATATATCAAGTTTTGCTATATGCTCTGATTTACAGCTTGAGCATTGTGCATCTGTTTCATAACAAAACACATCACCTTTAAAAATTACAAATTTCTTCTTTATTTATTTATTTATGTGGACTGCACCTTCAGTAAGGGGCTATTTTGTAGGGTAAACTGTAAAAGATGACAGCAGCTTTTGACTTTTTGTAGTTGGTCTAAAAAACCTTAGGGACTGTTCATGTGATTTTCTTATCTAATTTGTCGATTTAGACGAACAGCGATTAGCTCTTTTTCTTAGTATAATCAAAATTCTACACTTGTAAGATTGCTTGATACATATAAACTCCGATCACGTAGCTTCGTATTTCTCGTCGTAATATAACCAAGGAGTGTCTTTTACACTTGTGATGAACACAAAAACTTCTTTCTAGTATCTCTGTTAACCCTTAAAGGTGTGACTATAAAGTATAAACACTACTCTAGCAAGGTTTAGCCTAATTACAATAACACCCTCCAACAATCTTGCAAAAAATCACATATACTCCCTCCAAGTGGAGAGGTATTTGCAGTTTCGAAAGATAAACGGCATACTCGTGTAATCGACCCAAACCCAAAGAAAAAAAAAAGAGAAAAAAAAAATGCTAGTCAACCAAAACTTCCTCCTGACTCAACATGGCCCGAAGCTCTTGCTTGCTGATAACGAGCTTGATCCTCACGGTGCCAGCTGGCGCCGCCACCTCAGCTGGCCCATCCGAGCCACTTTTCACGTCTTCGGAAAAACGAACCCTCTTCTTGCTTTGGTTCTCGTTTGCAGGCTTTTTTGGTGGCGGAGGTACCGTCAAGGGAAGCAGGTAGTACAAGCGGGCCCCGAGAAGGTCTGCGCTCGGGAGCATGTGTTTCTTGGCGGGCAAGTTATCGGATATCGCGTGGTGGGAGAAATCGGACAGGACATGGTGAACCTTAAAAGTGTGGAGATTCTGATGTGAAAAGGAAGAACTGTTGAAAAAGTGTGGAGATTATGTGAAGAGATGAGAAAAGGAACAACTGTGGAGATTATGTTATGTGAAGAGATGAGAAAGGAAAGTGGTTTTTGAGGAGTATGTGTTGAAGTTGGATTTGATCATCTTGGATTTGAATTCATGTGTGTACTGTGTAGTATTTATGAGGGGAAGAATACCGGAGTTGCCCCTGTAGTTTGAAGATATTATGAAAACGTGTTTGCACTTTTGGGGCCTACCAGCTTTTGAATTTTTTTTTTTACTTTTTAGCATGACTTATGATGAAAGTGCTTGAGAACCCTAATCAGAACTGATTTTGGGAGTATTAAAGTTACTAGGGTGTGTTAAAAAATATTATATTTAAATTTAGGAAGTAATAGTACAATACATATGTATTACATGGGTGTTTATTGAAAAATGTATACATAAATTTTAAAAGTATTAAAAAAAGTATGTTTTGGATTTAAAATGACACTCTCATATATACTACTTAATCATCTTATGATTATAGTTTTCATCTTATGATTATAGTTTTCTTGAACTTATATCATATAACTACTTTGTAGTTAAATTTATTTAATTTATAGAAACTTTTAGTTTTTCCAACTAAAATTAGTAATGATTTAATTTTATTTGTAAATATAGATATAATTATTTATATACTTTATCATACAATATAGATGGTAAATTGAAGGTAATGAATAGATGATTGATTTGGTATATTATATGTGAAAATTTTATAAAAAATATAAAAGTTAACTTTTAAAATATTTACAATTTATGTTAGTAAAGTGTATTATAATTAAAAGAAAAAAAAGATAGTGAGAAAAAGAAAGATTGAGGCAAAAAATTTCATTCCTTATAAACTATGTCCTAAGAGCACCCACCATGCATTGAGTCTAATTTTACATATGTGGCATATATAAAGTGTATTATAATTAAAAGAAAAAAAAAAGATAGTGGGAAAAAGAAAGATTGAGGCAAAAAATTTCATTCCTTATAAACTATGTCAAACTATGTCCTAAGAGCACCCACCATGCATTGAGCCTAATTTTACATATGTGGCATATAAATTGACTTAAGTCCTGAATGACATGAAGTCATCGGATGGTTTTCTTATGGAGTCATCTACCACTTAATGTATTGACACCTGTCCAAATTGTATTTATTGCAGGACACGTGCCAATACATTATTGGTGAATAAGTGTGGATGACTCCATAAGTCGAGCCATCCGATGGCTTCATAGCAAAACTGTAAAACCAAAAGCTACTCAATGCAAAAATAAAACACTAGGTTTAGAATACTTGCCAACAAAATGCTATCTCTAATATGTTTACCATATTAAAAAAAAATTAAATTAGAAATAAATGTTGACTGTTCAGGTTTGTACTTGAGTTCAAAATAGACTCAAGAGCGGACTTGGTCTCTTTTTTTTATTGCCACATAAGATAGACCATGTCCACTTTTAATTGCATTGGAAACAATTTCTTATAAATTAACTCTATTTCCTACATTACATATGATATTTTTTTAAGAGACCCAATGCTTGTGGGTGGTCTAAATATGAAAATATTTTAAAACACAATTAATGCTCATAAAAATGGTCATAAATATTCAGTATCTTTATGGATAATTCCAAGCTTAATTATTTATGGATTGAGAATACATTAAATGTTATCCAAGTTAAATAACGAAGAATGAAATTTTGTTAAATAGGATTTCGAAGTATGTGAGCCTACCATTAGACTCAACACATTCCAAAATTATATATAGAGGGATAAGCACAACTAGGATTGTTTTATTTTACTTTTGAAATATAGTAATTTTTATATTTATCAATAAAGTACACGAAAGGGTTATATATGTTTATGAAGATGAGAACTTGAATTTAAAATGGCTTGCATAACTAACCGAGAATCGGTTAATCCAGAAACCCTTTGTTTTTAAGAATATTCCTTTTTTTAGTTATCAGAATAATTTTTACTTGGATAAAGCTTGTATAAAACAGACTTGATTGTCGCACATTTATGCATTTTTAACAAATAACAAATTTGCATTAACCATGCACAAATAGGGTACCTCGACAAGACGGATCGTTATGACTCAAGATCAGTTTGGCTCGTTACTGATTAGTTAACGGGCTAGACTTGTTAAGGGTAAAAAATAAGATTTTTTACATATTTTTTATAATTTGACTCGTTATGACTTAAACTCAATTTATTAATATTGATAAACAAGCCGAACTCGAACTTGAATACTATGAGTTAGAGTTTGACTGGGCTCATTTACACCACCATGTAAGAATGATATACTTAAAAAAAATATAAATTATCAATATAAGTATGTAGTTTCTTTAAAAAAAAAATGAGGAGTCAAGTAACAAAAGCAGAGAAGATAAAAAATTTTCTCTCTTAAGGCCCCCCAAATCAGAACAGCAAAAAACTCGTCTTCAAACTCACATCGCCGCCTCCTTCCTTTCGGGCTCTCCGCTCGCCAGGTGCCGGCCGTCACCGGTCCGCAAAGCCGGTCCCCCTGGGTGTTGAGGTCCCTGCCAGGCGTTGGGCGCGCCGATTTCAAGGTTGCCCGTTTTCGAGCGGTTCCAAATGTGCCAAAGTGGCTGCGCGACGAGCTCCGACCGAATTTTCAGCGCCAGTCAGAGTTGAGGTTCGGATCCCCCCTTTTTCCCCTTCAACCGTCTCATTGTTTCAAGCTGTTCCTTGGTCGGTCGGACTTGTCGGGCTTCCGGCTTGCGTGGCTAAAATCGGCCAGGGGTTTTGGTCGAGCTGGTTGAGAGGGAGAGGCTGGGCTGAGTCGTCCTCCGGTTGCCGGTCCAGGGGTGGTCCGTCCAGAAAAGATTATGGTCGTCTGATGCGTTCCAGCTAGCCGTGGTTCACTGGAGTTTTTGGTTTGGTATTCGGGCCGATGCGTGTGTTTGCCGGTTGAAAGGAGGGTGTTATTCTATTTAGTTTAGTTTGTGTTGTTTTGTGGCGTTTGTGTTGTTTCTGTTTTTCTTGTTTTGTTTTGTGTTATTGGTGTTTCTCCTCTTGTTAGGAGCTAATTATCCTCTAGTAAGAGCTTTTGCCCCTTTTTGGGAATCGTTTGTGGGTGAATTTGTGTAGTGTGGTGGGTGAGTTAGTGTAGTCTTTCTACGCTCTGAATTCGGGATTCTCTCGCTAGATTTGGCTATATAACTGATTGACTCTTTTAGTTGTGTTCTAGTTGTAATTATATGTTTATCTATTAAATCTATTATTTCGTAAGAAAAAATATGAGGAGTCGACAAGGTTTTTTTTTTTTTGAAACTGCAAACAAACTAAACAAAGAAAGAGGAAAATACAATTGGAAGAGAGTCCTTCCAATGATAAGAAGTAAGTGAATCAATTACCCAATTAGCTATATTATGAGTCGCTCTGTTGTCCTTCCGTGAGACATGGCAAACCGAGCTGCACTCTAAAGCCTTTAACAGATCCCTAGTATCCGTAAACACTTCAAAAAGAGGGTCCAAATCCTCCAAATTAATAATGCCGCCTACAACTTCAAGCGAATCTGTCAACACCGCTTGCACTTTTAATTCGGATTCCAATGCAAATCGAAGACCATGCCGGAGCGCCATCGCTTCCGCTAATAAAGGAGTGAATGATCCCTCAACGCTAATAGCAAAAGCTGCCTGACATAAACCGTCTTTATCGCGAAACCATCCACCCAGACCAATCTTGGACTCACGAACCGCCGCCTCGCAAAAAAGAGTCCAACCATTATTAGAAGTACCCCCACCTTTCCAGCTAGTTATGAAATCCTGACTAGGAAAATTCCCATTCTCAAGTCGCCCTGATTGAGCACCATCGAACTCTTTTAACCATGAAATTCCAAAATCCCAAACACACTCCGGACTTCTTGCTTTGAAATTTTTACGAAGATGATTACGCTCTTGCCAAATAAGCCACAAGGTCACAACAAAATTCCTAAAATCAACAACAAAGTCCGCATTTATAATATTCAAAGCGATGGATATAAAATCTCGTTTCTGAAGCCTAGAAATAACATCCCACCATCCTGCGTATTTCCATAACCTCTTTACCCAGACACATTCGAAAAAAAGATGATTATTCGATTCCCAATACCGCACCGCACACACCGACAGTCCAAAACTATATGTCTACGAGCAAGATTCTCACCGGATGGAAAGGCTGAAGATGATACTTTCCATAAGAAATTCTTTATTTTAGGGGGAGGCGAAGGTTCCACAGTGCTTTCCACCAATCCGAAGTAGGCTTTGAAGTGACGTCGAAGACTCCCCCATCAAGCTTTTAAGAAAATGATAGCCACTACGCATCGAGTATATCCCGTTCCCCGTAAAATGCAAAATTAAACGATCTTCACCCGAATTTTCACGTAATGGAATAGAAATGATTTTGATTGCATCAATGGGCAGGAACAGTTGGTGAATAAGATCAATATTCCAAGATCTGCTGATCCCGATAATATCCTGGACACGCTCCAATCCACTAACAGGCTGGGAAAAAGGCCGAAATGAAACATTATGCGGGATCCACGGATCAGTATAAATCTTGACCTTGGATCCATCCCCAATTCTCCAGCGTAATCCCGCTTTAACAACCTCACGTCCCCACAGAAGACTCTTCCAAAGATAAGATGAATTAGAACGAAAGGGCCCTCAAGGGTCGATTAGCTCGACCCGTACGCGATGATAGACAAGAACAAATGTATCAATATGCACACAAGAAAGATAAAAGAATAACAACAGCGCAGGTGCAAGTAAAGACAAATCAATAGTTGGTACATATGGTATCGGAATGGGGTGACTTCTTGATGGTCAAATCAATATAATGGTGAAGGGTGACCGAAGAAGTTAGGGGTACTGTGGCGATGGGCTCCTTATTCCATTCCTGGACCACGGGTCTCCAGGGGGAGCTTTTCTTGGGTCTACGTCACTGAGAAAGAGGCCTATGAAGCCACTTCGACTTGAAGTAGAAGGTGTCGGGTGGAGGCCGGACGAAAAAGAACCTTCTCTTCCACGAATGAATGTTGGAAGGAAGCTTCCAAATAAACTTGGCCCCATTACGGGAAAGGTTATAATGGCGCCCCGTGTTACCCCATCGTTGGAACCTCAACCCATAGCAATAAAAATAAAAGTCGAGCTCTAACTGTCCCAACCGATGACGACACAATATAGCGAATGCGATCATTATCCGAATGGCATTATGAGGGAGTTGGTTTAAGGGAAAATCAAACACCTGTCATAGACGCAAGAGAGGGCCAAGGCCAGAGAATCGAAGACCCGCACCAACTTAATCCTTAAAAAATGTATAACATCCGGGGGACGACCGATCATATGTATCCGAAGGGACCGATTTCACAAACTCCCAATCGGTAGGCAACTCACAAAGCTTCTTGAACTCCGCGATGTCGCCGAATGACATACGAAAAAAAGGACTAGGTCTACTCTCGGGGTCAACACCCAAAGCCTAACCCTCACCCGAGTTGGTCGAGAAAGAGGCGCGGCTACCCGAATCAACCGAGTGGGTAGCGTGTCCACTCGAGTGGGTCCAAGGGAGAGGCGCGGCTTCCTGAACCACGCAAAGGAGAAACGGATCCCTGCGAGCCGGTCAAGAGAGAGACGCCTCGACCCGAAACCGAGTCGGGGATATAAAAAAAAGACGGGACATCCTCAAGGTCAAAAAGGTCATTTGGAAACGAGTCTCCAAACCGTTGAAGCTCGTCCCAAGTGAACACGCCTTCGGCCTCGTCGATTAAATGGGGGGTGTCGGCCCCGGAAGGAGGGTCGAATGGTATATCTACATAAAGGCGCGCAACGAAAATGGCATAAGGACTATTGGACAAGAAAGCCCGACTCTGACCCAGAAACCGAACTATCTAGCCAACGAATCGAAAGATAACGAGGGACTGAAAGGTACAAACAACAAGAAAAGCAAGAAATAGTAGAGAGCCCAAGGATACGTACCCATTATCGGAAGTAGCACAAACTCGATTGGAAGGATTCGTCGCTGGGTGTTGGAACTCGCTAAAGGTCCACCGAATTTAGAAGTCCGCGAGCAAATAGCCACGCTGGAGGGTTCGCGAGCAAATCTGGGGGTCGGAGGGTTCACAAGCAAGTCTTCGGGTCAGAAGATGTGCGAACGAACCGTGGGTCGAAGAAGTAGTAGACGGGCCGCCGTGCCGGATGGTAGAATTTTCTTGTAGAAGGGAAGAGAAGAAGAAAATTTTCTTGACAAATGGGGAGTAGAATATTTATAGATGGATGAGGGTGTTAAAGGAAAGAGGGATGAATGTGAGCCACACAAAATTTAGGTAAGTGATGGGGTAGGTGGAGCACATGGTCTTGGAAAAAGAAAAAGGTATTAGTCAAAAAGCTATGCATACATCAAATCGGGGCGCTCCAATCGATGACAAATCGGACTTAATAACGCACGCCCTTTAGGCATACCCGGTAGCTCCACAACAGTACTAAGGGATAAAAATAAAAGGATAGCGAGGTGCACAAACGCTATATTTATGAATACTCGAATTTTACCTCAAGTACTCGTAAATAGGGGGGAGTGGCTGATAGGTATCCTAATAACGACTCAGCTTGGTTAAGTAAAGGACCCGTGGAACTGGGCCCTTTTAGTCTATAGGTCGACCAAGCATGAGGGAGAAAGGGGATCGAGCCGCGTGAGGGGCCTCGACCCATCACCCCAGTGGCCGATATGCTCGAGCACAACAAGGTATATCGACCGTAGAACGGGTCGATTAGGCCGACCTGTACGAGCCAACCAAATACTATATGACCTAAGCACGTTCGGTCAATAGAAGATCAGGCACCAACCGCCTTACAAACAAGTACTATATAAGAGGTAATCCGATGGAAAACTGGTAAGACTCATTTATTATCAACACTGTTACATTCATTACATACTATTCTTCTATTCTGAGATATTGACTTGGGCGTCGGAGGGTCTTGCGCCGGAGCAATTCCGGCGCTTTTGCAGGTACCGGCAAACTCAAGGACTTGGACCGCACCGAACCGGTAGATCCACGTTCAAATTAGAGAAGAGCTTTCGAAAAACCGGAGTCACTCATCTCGAACCATATCATACACCAATTTTATTTGATGAAATCAAATAAATACATAGCAAATTTTGGCATGTTACTGGGTTTAAGAATAAGCCATATTGAGCCGTTTTTACCAGCTGCATTCAGGCCTAATCCACCCAAGGAAGGAATTGTGTTTTCTTTCCATATCTTTCTTTTCCCCTCAATCAAGTCACCATCTTCATCAGTTTTTCAAAAACCAAAAATACGCCCCAAAGTCGTACAGACAAAACACTTAGCCCTCAATATCTCATCCTCCGATCGCATTCATCCTCAATATCTCAACCTGAGACCACGTCCTTCGGTCCACGTAAATCAGGGCAGAGTAATATTCCCGAAGAACCCTCTTCAGCCGCTCGACTTCCTCTCCGCCAACAGCGGGCTGCCGTGACGAGCAGCGGGTTCAGGCCATTCGTTCGATCCTTCTTCAGCCTCTCCCCATCACTCTCTTTTCCGTCGCACGCCATTGCCCTCAGCTGCGCGCAGACGAGACCTGAGAGCAGTCGTCCGTTCGTATCGCAGAAACCCTTAGCCGGTGATATTACACAACAACTCCACGCCGGTTTTTATTAGCATCAGCCCGGTCTGGGAGCTCGTAAATTCCGAGCAGCAGCCGTTCGAGAGCTTCAGCCAGTGCAGCGCCTTTTTTGCCGAGAGGGAGAGGCTAGCAGCAACACCCCTAGTCGAAGAGGTCGCAGCCGGCGTCTAAGGCCGAGAAACAGCCGCGGGCCACGAACTCCGAACAGCGGCTCGCCCAGAGTTTTCTACGAACAACGGTACCACTCCCTTTTTCTTCGAGTAGCAATAGTTTTAGCCTCCGTTCTTTCAAACCGAGAAGTAGCCCCGTCAGTTTCTTTTCCGAGGAGTAGCGACTGGCATTTTTGAGAGGTTGAGTCGTCGTCCTCCGTTCGTCTTTTGCCCGAGCAGCCGTCGGCCTGTGAACTAATCGAGAGTAGCGGGCAGGCTAGTAGCCGAGAGCTGAGGCCGTTCGTTTTTCCCATCTTTCGACCCCAGCTAGTAGATTCCGGAACAAGAAAGTATAAGGCTATACCCTCTTCTTAATTTTTATGATTTATATTGAGGGATTTTATGAAGGATAAAAGGTTCATTGACTTGAAATATTTTAAGTTGAGTTTAATTCATGTGATGTGAATTATGATATTGATGTTGGACTCTTGATGTAGGCTCTGAAAACTCATAATTTTAAAAGCATAAGATAGCCGGGATAAATGCCTTATAGTTGTTTGATATATTGAGTTAAATAGCACAAGTTGAGGATCTATTTATTCGAAAATGAGATAAAAGAGACGAGATTTTTTCTAAGTTTAAACCCATGTAATTTTGGTGATAAATATTTGAGAAAATTTGATATCCCAATGCCTTATAATTATTTTGAGAAAACAATGGTTTTTGTAAAAAATAATCTAGGCTAAAAGTATCATTTGGTTTCTTGTAAATGGGTGAGAGAAAAAGAAAGAGTAAAGAGAATTTTGAGTTAGAAGTTTTCAGAAAGAGTAAGAGTGGGAAAGGTAAAAAAAGAGAGAAAAACAAAGAGAATTTTGAGTAGCGCTCCGAGAAAAAGAAATTCAAATTTTTATAACTTAGCAAGTGGGCGTTACAAGCAAACAAATGAATTAAATTGCAAAAAATATAAAAATAAGTAGTAATTTGATTTAATGGATTCTCCTCTTCATCGGCCAATAATTTAAGATAGCATAAAATCGATAAGAGAGTTAATGTATAATACAAAAATATACTTGTTCAAAGAGGTAAAAAGAAAACAATAACTTTTATTGATTGCAATTAAATAAATTAACAACTATATGCTGCAAACCAACGAACCTAATAATGAAAATTTGATAATCCTGATTGCACTTAAATAAATTAACAGCTATATGCTGCTAACCAAAGATCTTAGTAATTAAAAACTGATAACCATGTGGACAGCTACATACAACCAATGGAACTAAACATAAAATAAAAACCCGAACAACTAATTACTTTTTCCAAAAAAACTGAAATAGCAATAATGGAATATATAAATAAAATACCAAATATTATGGTGCCTTCAAGTTCCACTTCTCATCTTCATTATCATGTTCAGCCTCGTCGACGACCTAATCACCATTCTCAAGCTCCTCTATTTCACTCGTCCACGCAATCTTGCTGTTGGTGACATACATGCTCGTTGTTGTAGCAAATTTTGTTTTATAGTTTTTCCGAGCACCGAGTTAAAAACTCGTTTCCCGGGTCGATCTCAAGGACTGGTCAATCGAACTATATTATGTGTAATTCAATTTCTTTTATATATATAATAATGCAGAAAATTAATCCAGATTTTTGCTTGATTACAACTAGAAATTTACATAACATTACAGAAACAGAAGAAAGACATTAAATAACATAAAGTCAACTGGAAAAGCAAAACAGTAAATAACAGAAAGTCAACTGGAAAAGCAAAACAGTAAATAACAGAAATAATTTACAATAGTCGTAATAATAGTAATAATAATATTAATAATAATAGTAATAATAATAATAATAATAATAGTAGTAATAATAGTATATAAACAGAAAGTAAATTGCAGAAAGTAAGGTGCAGAAAGTAAAGTGCAGAAAGTAAATTCAGTAATAATAGTAATAATAATACTAATAATAATAATAATAATATTTCTATGTATATATATATGTGATAAGTAATTGGCAGGGAGTAAAGTGCGTAGAGTAAATAAAGCAATAAAATTACAACAGTAGAAATAAGCAATAACATTGCAGAAAGTAAAGTGCAGAAAGTAAATTACAGTAATAATAGTAATAATAATACTAATAATAATAATAATAATATTTCTATATATATATATATATGCGATAAGTAATTGGCAGGGAGTAAAGTGCGTAAAGTAAATAAAGCAATAAAATTACAACAGTAGAAATAAGCAATAACATTAAGCAATAATAGTTAATATTTATAACATATATATATATATATATTAATAAGTATCCACAACTATTATTATTGTAGTAATAATATTCATAATCATTCCTTTAGGAACAATAAGAATAATTACGACTGCAATAACAATAATCGGAATATAAATTTATAACGTCTTAACGGAACGGAATTTACAGAATAACACTCGGATTTTAACTGGATAAACACTCGAATTTT